CCTTAGCTGCAAACACAGACCGAATTATACGTCCGGTCAGGAACAGGAATCATCAGCACAGCCTCCTACCCGCTATGTACTGAATAGTCGTGTGACTAATTTGCAAGATGGAAATCTCATGCACGAAATTACGAAATCCTGGAAATCTCATGCACGAAATTACGGAAGGTTTCTGATATTAAAAATCACGTAATCGAATTTTGATATTAAATATATATTCCAAGTTTCGTTCTCTTCGGTTCCATTCGCTCTCCCCTCGCCTGCTCTCATCGTCCTTTAAAGTTTTTATCTGTTAAGATGTATCAGACACATTCTCCTCTGTCTTCCAAGCCAGACATAATCCTCTTCAGTTTGTTTCAAAACGCATTATTCTGCTTCTGATGATTTTTATGCAAAATAAACGAATAAAACTGCACTATCGCGGATTCTGTGTACGTATTTATTATGTATAAGCTTTTCAGACATGACAGGGGTTGCACTGAATTTCCTTCGGTTAGCATGGTCCACTACTTCACAAGGCATGCTTTGGCCCATCTAGGGCTTCCAAATACCACTTCACAGCTTCGACCTTCTCGTCAACACTGCCCGGTAGTTGACTAATTTTGGCTGGGCTTCTATCGCCTTTTCTTTTTTATGCATTTTGTGCTGTGTAACAGCTGTACAAAACGCATATTGTCACGGGGTTGTTTGTGTTTGTGTGCGTGTATGTGTGTGTCCGCAGCAACTTGTTCGCAACTTTCAATTCGGGAACCACAAAATCTAGGAAGCCGAAAATTTAGGGGAGCGTTCACCACCCAAGTGTGACCCTGCAAATTTAAATTCAGCTTCCCCGTACCCGCGGGTAACGCGTACGAACTCGTGAAAGTTTTTCATAGGTAAGTTACTATCTCGGGAACCACAGAGTCTAGGAGGCTGGAATTTTAGGGTAATGACCCCCTGTCCACGCTCAACCTTGCCTATTCAAATTCAGCGTTCTCGCGCTCTTGAGTATCACCTACGGCCTCGTGAAAATTTTGGCGAGTAAACTATTAACTCGGTAATCACGGAAAGATATTCACTCTTCAAGGTTTCGAATTCAGCTTTCATGCGCTGGTGCGCGAAATTTTTAACTGTTTTCCAATGTTT